TCTTCGTTTTTGTTACAACCGATGTGTGTAAACATTGATGTTTTTATCGTACTTTTCTTTGCGCTCAGTGACTAATGCGTTCCCATTTTCCTTGTCTATTTAACATTTGAGTTTTAGACGTCAAAACATCAGCAGTGACCCTTGAAGATAAATGCGGCAGCAAAGCCAACGAGTCTGACTGTAGCATTGGCTACACCGGCCATGACAACTGTATGAAATTGATTGATTATTGTAAGTTACTTTTGCATGCCGTAGCACCGTCCCACAAGATGTGCTAAGCTCATGCTCACATGACATTGTTGTTGATGCAACATTGCAAAATTCTCATGCTCATGCCCTTTAACGGTCAAAATTCTGAAAATTGCAAAACATGTAGACAATTCTTTCCGCCAGTGTATCTTTACTGGATATGAGGCCTTATGTGTTGGTGGCTATGGCAGAAAGGAGCACTATTCCGTCCTTTTTCTTGGCAAGGTTCGCGCAGGTAAGGACCAGACCATTTTTTTACATCTCTTGCTAACATGTGTAATCTTCTGTTTGTTAACCACCTGGGCGCACACTTGCTGGTATTTTTTTTTTCAGAAAGTGCATATTGCCAACGCGATTGTTGCGTATCTTCTGGAGTCCTTACCCATTTTGGTTTAGTTTGAAGTCTAGTGGAAATTGTAGTAGTAATTATGTAGATATTGAAACGCTATATCTTAATAAGATGCATTTGATACACCCAAGCATCAAAATGAAAGAGCTGCTGAAACGACCCACTGGGAAAGCCGATGCTTCATTCGTGCCCAATTGGTATACCACTCCCATGTTCAAAAAGTGTTCGCCTTGGTGTTCAAAAAGTATTATGTGCTGGTGCTAAAAAAGTTGAAACATGTTGTGCCCAAAAATTATCCTTGGTTGGTTTGGGACTTTGTGTTCAACTGGTGTTCAATTCTTGACTTTTTGCACAGAGTTCGGACATGGGATTTTTCTGAGGTTCTCATCCCCTCGTTGTCCTGCGTCTTCCTCTCTTCCCCTCGGTTTCCCTCTCTCCGCGCCCCTATTCTGCCCCCCTTATCCCTCGTTTCGGTCTTCCCTGCCCTACGTTTCCCCCCACTCTGCCCTAGGTTTCCCCCAGCTCCCCCCTCCGTTTCTCCCAACTTACCCCCCACTCTGCCCTACTTTCCTCCCACTCTGTCATACTTTCCCCCACTCTGCCCAACGAATCTTCCCACTCTGCCTTACGGTTCTCCCCAGAGTGGGACTTCCCCCCCTGTGTGGGCTCACCGTCCCCCTCTGTCCGAGCTCACCTTCCCCTCCCAACCAGAGCTCACCCTCCCCCCCAGTCTGAGCCCGCCTTCCCCCCCAAACCAGGGCTCACCTGCCCCAGCCTGTCTAAGCCCCCCCACACCTGGGCGGGACTTCCCCACCTGACTGAGCTCACCTCCCCCTCCCAACCAGGTCTCATCTTCCCCCCTGTCTGAGCCCACCTCCCCCCCAACACCAGAGCGGGACTTCTTCCCCTGTATGAGCTCACCTTCCCCCCTGACTGAGCTCACCTTCCCCCCCTGACTGAGCTCACCTCCCCCTCCCAACCAGGTCTCATCTTCCCCCCTGTCTTAGCCCACCTCCCCCCCCACACCAGAGCGGGACTTCCCCCCCTGTCTGAGCTCACCTCCCCCTCCCAACCAGGTCTCATCTTCCCCCCTGTCTGAGCCCACCTTCCCCCCCACACCAGAGCAGGACTTCCCCCCCTGTCCGAACTCACCTCCCCCTCCCAACCAGGTCTCATCTTCCCCCCTGTCTGAGCCCACCTTCCCCCCCACACCAGAGCAGGACTTCCCCCCCTGTCCGAACTCACCTCCCCCTCCCAACCAGGTCTCATCTTCCCCCCTGTCTGAGCCCACCTCCCCCCCCCACACCAGAGCGGGACTTCCCCCCCTGTCTGGAGCTCACCTTCCCCCCCTGATTGAGCTCACCTCCCCATCCCAACCAGGTCTCATCTTCCCCCCTGTCTGAGCCCACCTCACCCCCCACACCAGAGCGGGACTTCCCCCCCTGTCTGAGCGCCCATCCCTCTCTGTCTGACCCCACCTTCCTCCCCACCTTATTCCCCAGGGAGTGAGGCATGAGAGCAGGGAGGGAGTGAGGCATGAGAGCAGTGAGGGAGTGAGGCATGAGGGCAGGGAGGGAGTGAGGCATGAGAGCAGGGAGGGAGGGAGGCATGAGAGCAGGGAGGGCAGGAGTCATGAGAGCAGGGAGGGAGTGAGGCATGAGAGCAGGGAGGGAGTAAGGCATGAGAGCAGGGAGGGAGTGAGGCATGAGAGCAGGGAGGGCGGGAGGCATGAGAGCAGGGAGGGCGGGAGGCGTGAGAGCAGGGAGGGAGAGAGGCATGAGAGCAGGGAGGGAGAGAGGCATGAGAGCAGGGAGGGAGAGAGGCATGAGAGCAGGGAGGGCGGGTGGCATGAGAGCAGGGAGGGCGGGAGGCATGAGAGCAGGGAGGGCGGGAGGCATGAGAGCAGGTAGGGAGGCGTGATGGTGGAAATGGGCAGCTGGAGCACGAGTCAGGGGGAAAGGAGGCAGCTAGGAGGGAAGGCTGAAGGTGGGGAGGGCGGAGGGTAGGGAGGGCGGAAGGTGGGAAGGGCAGAAGGTAGGGAGGGCGGATGGTAGGGAGAGAGGCGGAGGAGGGAGAAGGTCCGTCAGCTCATTGGTGGAGGAGAGGAGATGGCTCGTGAGAGTCTCTTTGTCTCTCCTTCACGACTATGTATAAATAGGCGCCCCGCTGTCCCAAAATTGTGGTGTTGCCCGCGGGTCATGCGGAATGATGAATTAGGTCATGGCACACCCAGTCACATGGAGGAACTGGGTCGTTTTGCCTCACTGGAAGCAAGGACTCAAGTGCTACAGGTTTAGCCCTCACTGGAAGCGAGGACTCAAGTGTTACAGGGTGTCTGATTGCTTGCTGTTGCATGCTTTTCAATCTCTCAAATAATGTGCTGCATTCCACATCTGATTGTTCAAAAACTTGATACATACAACCTTCGACTGCAGTATGCATGCACTTTGTATATCAAACCACTACCTACGACCTAGTTCGAACTACCAAAGTGGACCGATTGGCATGTATTTCTCTCTATGCCTTGCGCCCAAGTCTATGGCATATCCATGTTCCACCGCATGTAGCACATAGCACATCACTCTGATAAAGCTGAGCGCCCGGCCTGGCTAATTGCAATCAGGGCGCCAGGAAGACGTTAGCATCACCAATGAAGACGTTTCTCAGCCAGGGATGGTGACGAAACGAGATGGGGACTGGAGAGGAAGGGGTGGGGGAAGGGAGGGATGGATGGGGTCAGAGTGGGTGAGTGCGGGGGTGGTGAATACGTGAGAGGATGGTATGTGGTCCAAAGCAAGAAGCATGGGGGGAGGACAGCAAGGGGGACCAGAGGTAAGGTGAGGGACAACGGGGAGGATAGCAAGGGGGAGCAGAGGAAAGGTGAGGGACAGGGGGGAGGACAGCAAGGGGGAGCAGGTGTGGGGGGGAAAGAGAAGGGATGTAGAGAGAGGACACGAGGGGGAAAGAGAGAGGAGAGGAGGGGGAAAGAGAGAGGACACGACGGGGAAAGAGAGAGGACACGAGGGGGTAAGGGAGAGGATACGAGGGGGAAAGAGAGAGGACACGAGGGGGAAAGAGAGAGGACACGAGGGGGAAAGAGAGAGGACACGAGGGGGAAAGAGAGAGGACACGAGGGGGAAAGAGAGAGGACAGGAGGGGGAAAGAGAGAGGACACGAGGGGGAAAGAGAGAGGACACGAGGGGGAAAGGGAGAGGACACGAGGGGGAAAGAGAGAGGACACGAGGGGGAAAGAGAGAGGACAGGAGGGGGAAAGAGAGAGGACAGGAGGGGGATTGAGAGAGGACACGAGGGTGAAAGAGAGAGGACACGAGGGGGAAACAGAGAGGACACGAGGGGGAAAGAGGGAGGACACGAGGGGGAAAAACAGAGGACACGAGGGGGAAAGAGAGAGGACAGGAGGGGGAAAGAGAGAGGACAGGAGGGGGAAAGAGAGAGGACAGGAGGGGGATTGAGAGAGGACACGAGGGGGAAAGAGAGAGGACACGAGGGGGAAAGAGGGAGGACACGAGGAGGAAGAAGAGAGGACACGAGGGGGAAAGAGAGAGGACACGAGGGGGAAAGAGAGAGGTCGGGGAGGGGTGGGGAAGAGAGAGGATAAGGAGAAGTTGTGAGAGGGGATATGAGGGTAAAAGAGAGGGCATGTGGGGGGGAAAGAGAGGGCGTGTGAGGGGGAAACAGAGGGCATGTGAGGGAGAAACAGAGGGCATGTGAGGGGGAAACAGAGGGCATGTGAGGGGGAAAGAGAGGGCATGTGCAAGGTGCCAAAAAAACGGTGTTTTTTTATTTTATTTTACCGTTTAAAACGGGATTGTATTAAACGGTCGTTTAATACGATTAAAACGGCTGAAAATGGTGTTTCCGACTGGTACAAAAAAACGGTCGTTTTATACGGTCGTTTTTTTCGTACCGTCATGTAAAACGGTAGTGCCCTTTATAACGAACCACGCGAACCGGTGGAGTGTGTCAGAATCGACTGCCGAGTCGGACGTTGGGGTTCTTGCCGAGCCGCATTCCGACACTTTCTCGAGCCGCGAATTCACACACATTTAGCGATGCAAAACAGATTGGAAACACGTTTCGCAACTGTCGTTAGCTTTTTCGCGCCATGTTGACACTGGCGAACGCGCATAGCGACGCGAATTCGCGCAATTTGCGTTGGAAGGCCCAACCAATCAACGCATCCCTTTCTCCATCCGTCTCAACGAATTCAAGGTTCAGCACACAGCAAAGTACAGGTACAACTACGGAGCACAATCAACAAGGTAAGCATGCTTCAACCCTATCCCGTCAGCAGAACTAGTTCTTCTTAGTCCAAGCACTCGCCCTCACAGAACGCTTTAGTGTGCGCATTTTCGTCGTGCCTCACCCGACGTCCTCCGTTTGGGAGCATGTCAAGAAGGTGACGGGCCCGAACGGCGTAGTTACTAGTGCCGTTTGCCTCCATTGCAACCAACCTGTCACACCCAACGCGACTAGAATCGGGCATCATACTTACGGCACGCCTTCCTCCAAGCTGAAGAATGTCGCGCCGTGTGCTTCGAAATTCACGAAGCAGCTGCGCGCGGGCAGCGAAGAAACGCGTTCTTCCACCGCCGAAGACTCCATCCTTGGATCGACGTCCGGGGAGGCATCGCAGCCGGCCCCAGTCCGGCGTTTGCGGCAGCAGGACATTGCGACGCGTCATCACCTTGACCACCTTTGGGCAACCGCCATCGACGAGAATGACTTGGCGTTTAAGGTGTCACGGTCGCCAGCAATGCAGGCCTCTGTTAATGCGGCGACGGCCTTCGGGAAGCAGTATACCTTGCCATCCGCGTACAAGATCTCTGGTCCCTTGCTCGCTCAGCTCAAGGTCGACTCCGAGGAGCTCGTGCAGCCCTTAAAAGACACGTGGCGCACCAGTGGCTGTTCGCTCTCGGTCGACGGATGGTCCTGCATCAAGAGCCGTGGCATGGTCTGCGTCATTGCCCAAAATGACACCGCACCCGTCGTCGTCGACTCCAAGACCGCGAAGAAGACCGGCCTGTATCTGGCGGATCTTATCCGCCGCGCCATCTGCAAGGTTGGCGACCGTCTCGTCGTCCAAGTGGTTATGGACAACACGTCCAACAACAAGCGGGCGGCGCGGCTGTTGGCGGACGAGTACCCCTAGGTGTTCTTCACGAACTGTGCCGCGCATGTGCTAGACCTCATGCTCCACGACCTTGGAGCGATCCCGGTCGTGCGCCGGGTCCTACAACAAGTGCATCGTGTGGTCATGATGGTCAAGGGGAGCGCGTCAGCCGTGGTTCTCTTCCGTGAAGTGTTCTCGCAGCTGGAGTTGGCTCGCCCGGGTGCCACACGCTTCGGGACGCAGGTGATCATGATCACCCGCTTCCTCGAAGTCAAGAGGCAACTGCGGGAGATGGTTATCTCAGAGCAGTGAGAGGAGGTTGCGGTTGCAAGGACGGATGAGGGGAAGGTGGTGCACGCTCTCCTTTTGGAGGACGCGTTTTGGGAATCCGTTGCCGCGGTCCTGAAGCTCCTGAGGGCCGTGGATAAGCACGCCACCATCATGGGCCAGATCTATGGCCTCATGCTGGAGGCGACCGTAAAGACTCTGAGATCAGGAGCGGTGCGGATGCTGTCATTCAAGCCATGGGTGGTGACGTGCAGCGACGCATGATGATTGCCGCCCAGTTGGCGTCCTTGCACAAGGGCAAAGGCCGCCCTGGGGCCGTGGATGCCCGATGGGCAGCCACGACCCTTGTGGAGTCCGGTCGGTTGAGCGACGCGGAGTGGTGGTGGATGTACGGAGGGGAGGTCGGTGCTCAGCAGGAGCTGGCTGTTATGGTGCTGTCACAGTCAGTGACTTCGTCCGAAGTGGAGCGCTACTGGTCCGCGCTGGCTCGTGTCCAGCGCCGCGATCGTAACCGCCTCAATGCCACGACCATGACTGATGTGACATTCGTCGCGTTCAGCAGGCGCGCGCGCGCAGCTTTCGATAAGAAAGTGGCGGCTCGCACGAAGCTGTATAGCGATCTAAGCGATGGCAGCCTGAAGGAGGGCTGCGCCATCCCTCCGCCCACGGCTGAGGAACCCGAGGCAGACAAAGAGGGAGGGGATGCGGACGAGGGGCAGTGTACCATCAATTGGGAGTCGTTTGGTAGCATCGACGCGAAGGGGAAGAAGACGGCCCTCAAGGCCCGAGAGAAGAAGAGGGCGAAGAGGCCAGCGGGTCCCGAAAGGGCAAGGAAAAGGTAATGGAGGAGGAGGAGGAGGAGGCGGAGGCGGAGTGTGATGGCGGTGGACCTGACGACGGGGCTGTCAAGACGGCCGGGGGGGGCGACCCATGGGACTGCAGCGACGGAGATAGCGGGGAGGAGGAGGAGGAGGAGGAGGAGGAGGAGGAGGAGGAGGAGGAGGAGGAGGAGGAGGAGGAGGAGGAGGAGGAGGAGGAGGAGGAGGAGGAGGAGGAGGAGGAGGAGGAGTAGGACGAGGCGCAGGAGGACAAGGAGGAGTAGGACGATGCGGAGGGCTAGGAGGAGGACTAGGAGGGGAAGGAGGAGGAGAGCAGGCGATTGAGTGGGACCAAGAGGAGGATTATGATAGCTACGAGGGGGACGATAATGACTTAGATGCGTGTAGGAAGTCGCCGCCACCAGGCCCTTAGTTTCCCCGCGTTTTTTAATGAAGTAAAAAAAAAAGTCTTTCTAACAAAAAAACGGCAGAATTTACACAAATATGCCGTATAAAACCATCGTATAAAACGGACCGTTTAATACGGAAACCGTTTTTTTGCACCTTGGGCATGTGAGGGGGAAAGAGAGTGCATGTGAGGGGGAAAGAGAAGGGATGTGGGCACAAAGAGAGAGGGGGAGAGCGGGAGCGCAGGGGAGTGGGAGAGTCGAAGACTGGGGGAGGGGGGGAGAGGGAGAGCGGGAGAGCGGGAGAGCAGGAGAGCGGGAAAGCAGGACAGCGGGAGAGCGGGAAAGCGGGAGAGAGGCGAGGGGAGAGCGGGAGAGCGGGAGAGCAGGAGAGCGGGAGAGCGAGCGAGCAGGAGAGCAGGAGAGCAAGCGTACAGGAGAGCGGGAGAGTGGGAGAGCGGGAGAGCGGAAAAGCGGGAGAGCAGGAGAGCGGGAGAGCGGGAGAGCGGGAGAGCGGGAGAGCAGGAGAGCGAGCGAGCAGGAGAGCGGGAGAGCGGGAGAGCGAGCGAGCAGGGGATCGGGAGAGCGGGAGAGCGGGAGAGTGGGAAAGAGGGAGAGCGAGCGAGCAGGAGAGCGGGAGAGCGGGAGAGCAGGAGAGCGGGGGAGCGAGCGAGCAGGAGAGCAGGAGAGCGGGAGACGGCAGGAGAGCAGGTTGCGGATTCGGGCGGGCGCATCGGCGCGTTGCGACCCCACCTGCGAATAAGCATGGCGTGGGCAGGCAGGGCTGCGTGGGCTGAAAACCGTCGCTAGCGTGCCCCGCTAGCTGCAGCGCGCGGGTCCAACGGTGTCGTTGTGATGTGGTGGCAAGACGGCGCGGCTCTCGCGAAAGCGAGGGCTGGACTTGGCCTGCCTAAACCGAGTGTGGTTCGCGCCCCTCTCAAAATCGCAGCTTTTCGAATCGTGCGACGTGCGCTTTGTTTGCTCGACGGGAAGGGCAGGGGACTGCATCATGACCTTGGAGTGCAGAATAAACTCCAAGGCACTTCGCACCTTGGTGGGTTGGTGAGATGCTTTTCTGCAGCACTGACCCTGTGTCGTATGGCTGTCACTCGGCCAATCATCTATTTGCGCCTGCCAAGTTTCCCCCTCTCGCGGGCCAACAGGGTTACCAAGTTTCCATGGTGTGGATGAGGGTTTGCCACTCGGAAGGTTCAAGGTCCTTTGAACCTTGAAGTTATCGTATACTTTCGCTTTAATCACAGTAGTGCGGAATCGAATGCTGAGGTTCAGAATAAGAGAATGTGGTACAATGGAATGACGAAGCAAGATATAGGAACACCTGAGCAATCATAGCCGCGTAATCAAACAGGTTCGTAGAAAGCATCCGTGGATGCGGAGCACTTCGGTGTGACGCGGAAATGGTCCGGTGCCGTGTTCGGGCCGAAGCTGTCGGTGAAGTGTGAGGTTGATGTACGCGGTGGGGGCGTGGCGCGCTACGGAATGAAAAATTCCTTACACAAATGGTAGCGTGCATCGCTCGGATTCATCCATGCAAGCTACAGGGTAACCCTTTTGCATGTTGCCTGTAAGGAATTTTCCATTCCTTAGCGTGCCACACCGCTAACGCGTACCCCAACCCACACGGCACGGACACCTGCCCTAGCTTGGCCCGTACACACCATGCCGAACCATTTCGCGTCACTCCAAAGCGTTCCGTAACCTCGGATGCCTTCTTCAAACCTGTTCGATCGAACGGCTAGGATTGCTCTGGTGTTCCTATATCTTGCTTCGTCATTCAATTGTACGACAATTCTATTATTCTAAACCTCGACATTCAATTCCGCGCTGCTTTGTTGAAACACTCATAACATCTGGTATTCAGAGCTACTTTCCTGACCTACCCACTTCAGTAGGCGGAAAACTTTGTTTCGGGGGGGAGGGGGAGGGGGGGGGAAGGGGGAGTGATTCGCTCACTTCGCTGCAAAGCGGTCGGCCGCGAATTAGACGAACTTATTCGCCCGACTACGATAGCGTTTGCGCTCTTACCTGAGCACGGGTAATCATGGATATTCCCCTGCCCACCCGGCGTAGTGTCCACCACATGGACAAGGCACAGTTCGACGAGCTATTGGCAAAATTCGCCGCCACAGACGCTCGCCTGCAAGCTGTGTTAAAACGACAACGAGAAACTTCGCGCCGAAGTTACCGAACTTCGCCAGGCGCAAGAGACTACGCGCCAGAAGTCGCCCGCCCCTAAGGACGCCGCCAGCACTGGACGTGTCGAAACAGTATGGGACAAAATTGCGCGCGAAGTGTCGCAAAAGCAACGTGATGATGAAGCTAAAGCAACAACGAATGACACCGCACGTGCAGCGGCAGCTGCAGCAGCTGCGACAACGGTTGCCGCCCCCTTCGAAGCAACAGCAACAGTTTCTGAAGTAGTAGCAGCCACACCAATTATACCAGTGGCCAAGATAAAGCCGTCGATGCCGCCCCTTTTTAATCCCATGGACAAAAACACCACCATGACTGGCTGGCTTTTCGCGATGGAGCTTTATTTTGATGCTGTCGGGATTAATGTTGATGATATAAAAATCAAACGGGCTGTTTCACTACTAAGGGGACCTGCACTGGATTGGTGGTGATCGACGCTAAGTGAGACGGGGACTTCGGCAGGGAACACTCAGAGGTTTTTCGGGAGTTCGGAATCTGCTGCCCCGGACACAACGTTTTGGAGCGACCGAGATTCGCACGTGGAAAGCGTGGGGTACAGCTCTACGTGCACGTTTCGAGCCCATATACGCCTCGGACAACGCATGTACGAAATTGGACACCTGGCGCCAGTTGAACTCAGTCTAGGATTATGCGTCATCATTTCAGGCACTGTGCGACCAAATCACCGACCTATCAGAAGATGAGAAATATAACTGATTCATTGTGGGGCTCATATCCGACGTTCGCTACAAAGTGGGGATGCGGCGCCCAGCGATGTTCCAAGAAGCAGTGGTGATCGCCGACCTGTACGATGGCAATAAAAAATACACGAGATCGGGTTCCCGGGAAGGAAATCGTATTCGTGGCCAGGAACAACGGCCCTCGATCTACGGCATTGTGGCAAACGACGAAGATCGCTAGAAGCGTCAGTTCTTTCACTGCCACCGGCCGGGTCACCGATATGCTAACTGCCCTGACCAGAAGCAGAGGAAAAACAACGATGGGCATAAGCCGGGAAATGACTTTCCTCAATAGCAAACGGGCCCCCTACTGACACGGTTGCATCGCCCGAGAAACAGCATCTCCACCGGGTAGTGGTACCAGTACATGTTATCGACCGCTCTCGGACGAATAACGGGGATGAACCTGAGGATCACCCTGTGCTAGTAGAAGGAAGGCTTAACGGCAAAAAAAATGAAAATCTTCATCGATGGTGGTGCGTGCCACGGTCCGATTCACCGACCGACGGCAGAAACATTGAACTTACCCCTAGAGCGGTGTCTGCCCGAGATCGGTGCCCGATTGGTCAACGGCACCCCGCTCGCGATACGTGATCGCGTGCGAACAGTTCGCATGAAGTGTAGTGACAATTTCGGTTTTAGCGTGCCGATGCTGGCAACGACACTCGACGGCAACGATGTGCTGCTGGGACGAGATTGACTTCGGCGACACAACCCGCAGATCGATTGGACGACAGGCGAGTGCACAGTCAAGTGTGCGAATGGTCGGCAGATACTGCCAAAATGGCGAGGAGCAGAGCCGATAACGACATGTGTCAACGCCATCACACTGACACGCGCGGTCAAGAAGGCACAGATTTGTACGGCATCCATCTGAAGGAATCAACGGACGACAATCCACTAGCCGACATCGACAAGCTCTGCGCAGCGGCCCCTGAAGATCTGGCAAAACTGATTTGTCAGCTCCCATATATTTTCCCGGATGACCTGCCACCTGGCCTACCACCAAAACGCCCTCAGGACCATCGGATCGAACTCAAACTCGGCGCGCAGCCAACTGTCAGGACACAGTGGCGGCTGACGCAACCCGAGCTCCAGGAATTACAAGACCAGGTGGACTACTTGCTGGCCAAAGGGTTCGTTCGATTGAGCAAGCACGTCCCCGTTCACTTCCCCAATCCTGTTCACACCCGAGAAAGATGGGGGCCTCCGAATGTGCATCGATTATCGCGCTCTAAATCGGGCTACGATAAATTCTCGCTACCCAATCCCATACGTGGACGAACTAATTGACCAGCTGCGATGCGCTCACTACTTCTCGAAGATCTTTGTGGCGGTTACCACCAGATTCGAGTCTTCACTGACGACTGCCACAAGATCGCCTTTTGTACTCGCTATTGGAGTTACGAATACACTGTCATGCCGTTCGGGTCATGCCCCCTCGACGTTCCAGTTGACGATGAACGGGGTATTCCGGGATCTACTCGATAAATGTGTGATCATTTATCTGGAGGACATCATGATTTACAGCACGACACGGGAGCAGCACTTAAAGGTCCTGGAAGCAGGTTTTTAGCGCCCGCAGCAGAATCGTCTCATCACCAAATGCTCCAAGTGCGAGTTTTGAAAACTCGAACAAGAGTTTTTGGGGCAAGTTATTTTGACGGAAGGCGTGAAAATTGACCCCAGCAAAATTCGGGCAATTCAGGAGTGGAAGCCGCCGACCAACCTCCAGGAGCTGCAATCGTTTTTGGGGTTCGTCAATTATGTGCGCCGGTTTATCCCCAACATGACCTACTTCATAAGGGCGCTGATTATCAGTGGGGGGAGAAGCAGCAAGCTGCGTTTGACGGATTAAAAAACATTTTAATCTCGCCACTGGTACTTCGGATTGCCCACCTAGAACGACCATTCGAGGTCGTGACCGACGCAAGTGACATCGCAATCGGAGCAGTTCTGCTACAAGATTTTGGCGACGGCCTTCAGCCAATCGCATACGAGTCACGAAAGTTACAATGAACTGAGCGAAACTATCCCATACATGACAAAGAAATAAAGGCGATCATGCACGCATTTAAGACCTGCCGATGCTACCTGACGGGGGCCGACATGACTGTACGAACATATCACAAATCCCTATAGTACCTGCGAGCGCAGCCGAACCTCAACCCGTGGCAGATTCGCTGGTTGGATTATCTGGAGTCGAACTTCATGTATCGAATCACGTACAAGAAGGGTGCCAACAACATAGCTGACACCCTCTCCAGACCATCTGCCCAAACCGCGGCTGTACTAATCGCCCAAACGAGCCGATTGCTGAGCGGACTATTTACCCACAGATATTCGACCGATCCCTTTTTCGTAAACAATGGCCGCTGGCACGTCACGACTGCGCGAGGAGCCTATTACGTAAAAGCGGGAACATAACAAATTTGGGTTCTGAGTTATCGTCTACTTCGCGAATTACTAACTCAAGAAGTCCACGATTCGAACTTATCGAGGCATTTTGGGGTTGACAAAACTATGAAGGCACCGCAGCAGATTTATTACTAGCCGGACATGATTTCGGACGTGCAAAGGTACATGGGTGCGTGTCCGACTTGACAAACGATTAAATTATCGCGCCAGCGATCAGCAGGACTGTTGCAGCCCCTCGAGCCACCCCAGCGACCTTCGCCATACGTGACAACAGAAAATGGCTTGCTGGCTGGTCCAAGTGGAATTGGCGCGGTCCTTGTCATCGTCGACTGCCTCACGAAAATGGCTCATTTCACGCCATGTCGCACGACGATCACAGCCGAAGAAACCGCGCGTCTGTTCATCTCGGCCATCGTTCGCCTGCATGGTATCCTTTCGGCGATCATCATTGACAGAGATCTGAAATTCACCTCGCGATTCTGGCAAGACACATGGAACCGATACTGCCGCCTACAGTTTTCATCCGCCTATCTGTTAAATTATATATTTGATATATATAATGGTAGGCTTGGTAAGTGTTACTGGATCCTACTGTAGAGGGTACAACCCCCCTTCTTGTATCCCTCTCTCTTCTATTCCGACCCTCTTCTCTCTCTATATTTTCTCCTAGCCTGAAACCTCTCGCCATTTCTATGGCTCCTCCTCCTACCTAGCTATGTTTTACATGGTTTCAGAGCAGGTTGTTCTTCCAGGGCCTGCTTATCACACTTCCGCAAAGTCCGCTCCTCCCTCCTGTCCTTTCCGCGCCGCCGCCACGGCCACGTCGTGCTGCCGTGGCGGCGTCTACACGTTAGCGCGGACGGCACGGACGGTAGCGGCCAGCGGCCAGCGCCCGGTCTTAGCGCTGGCCAGCATGCCCGCATGCAGCCAGCGCGCCACACGGGGCGGCATGCTCCCGGGATCCGCTGCTGAAGCCCTGCCCCCTTCCCCTGCGTCCCCTCTTCCTCGCCGCAGCCGACGGCTGACTCGCGCCGGCCGTCCCACCGTCGCGGAGCCCAGCCACGCCGCCGAGTGCTGCGAGCTCCACCGCCGCTGGCAGTTGTCGTCAAAGCCGCCGCCGCCGCAGCTGGTGCCGCTGGCCACGCCGCCGCCGCCGCCGCCGCCGCCACCGCTGTCGACGATGCCGCCGTCGCCGTCGTTGCAGCCGCTGCCCTCGCTGTCGACGTCGCCGCCTCACGCGCCAAGGGGTCGACCATGCTGGAGTAGCCGTCGCTGCTGCTGAGTATGGGGGTGCTAGGCTTAGGGGGTGTGTGGCTTAGTGTGCTGTGTGTGTGGTGTGCTTTCGGCTACCAAGCCTAGGGGGTGTGTTAAATTATATATTTGATCTATATAATGGTAGCCTTGGTAGGTGTTATTGGATCCTACTGTAGAGGGTACAATCCCCCTTCTTGTATCCCTCTCTCTTTTATTCCAACCCTCTTCTCTCTCGATATTTTCTCCTAACCTAAAACCTCTCGCCATTTCTATGGCTCCTCCTACTTAGCTATGTTTTACACAATCACCTGCAAACCGACGGTCAGACAGAACGGACAAATCAGACCATGGAACAGTTGATTCGCACCAACTGCCCGGATATCAGCAAATGGGAAGATTCGCTACCCATGCTCGAGTTTTCCTACAACCATGCACCCTTAGCCACGACCAATCATTCGCCCTTCTTACTAAATTGCGGGATGGATCCAACGGTACCCATTTTCACCAACGTCGAAAGCCAAGTTCCCCGATCGCAGCAGTTCGTTGACTTCAAACCGCCCGCATGAAAGCCATCAAATTTATCCGAAAGGCCAATGTCACTGCCCAATACGCCGACGGCCACAGACAAGATATTACGAAAAATGCAGGGAAATTAGTTCTCCTCGACACAAAGAACATTCGCCTGCAGATACCGCCCAAACTTCGACCCCACTACAGTGGACCTTTCAAGATCATCAAGATGATAACCCTAGTGACCGCCCAACTCCGCTTGCCCGACGATTGGAAAATTCGTAATTCCTTCCACGTCAGCCTCCTCCGTCCTTTTGTTGCTGACACGTCAAAAATCGCCCAACAGCCGATCGCCCAGGATCTAAGGCAAACCAAGGAGACGATCATCGAACCAGCAAAAATCCTGAGCCGTCACGTAAGGATCAACGGCCAGGAACGACACGTTGACTTTCTGATACGATGGACTCATCGTACCAGTGAAGACGACACGTGGGTTCCATCGGTACAAGTACAGTCGCCTACTGTTCTCTGGGATTATTTATCCCACAAGCACGTCGCAAATATAAACCACCTACGCTAGGGGGGGGGTAGTGTAAGGATTTTTCCATTCCTTAGCGCACCACACTGCTAACGCGTACCCCAACCAACACGGCACGTATTACGTTATATATATATGTTATATATATATGTTATATAATTTGGTAGGCTTGGTAGGTATCACTGAAACCTACTATAGAGGGTACAACCTCCCTCCTTGTATCCCTCTCTTCTATTCTCGACCCCTTTTCTCTCGTCAACTTTCTCATAGCTAAACCCTCTCGCCAGTTTCATGGCTTCCTAGCTACCTAGCTCTCGTGACATGGTAACAGAGCAGGTTGCCCTTCCCAGGCCTGCTCCCTACACTTCCGCCGCGCACTCCTCCTCTCCCTCTCGCGCTGCCATGGCGGCCGCATCGTGCTGCTGTGGCGGCGTCGTCGTGCCGCTGGTCGCGTCGTGCTGTGGCCGTCTCTATGCGCTGCCGTGGCGTCGCGCTGTCCTGGCGTCGACGTCCAGCCGTGGCGGTGTGACGGCGCCGTCGTGCTGCCGTCGCAGCATTGACGTCCCGCCGTGGCATCGACGCCGCACTGTGGCGGCGTCGTAATACTGCAGTGGCGGCGTCGTCGGGCAGCAGCCGGCCGCGCAACGCCTTTGGTGCCACTAGACCTGCCACCCGCTCACCTGCCATGGGCGTGATTCTGGACCACGCCCCCCCTCCTCCCCCCTTTTTCCCTTCATCCCCTCTTCCTCGCCATAGCCGACGCCTGACTCGTGAGGGTCTTCCCCATCGTCGCAAAGCTTGGCCACGCCGCCGAGAGGGCGGGGGCCGCTGCAGTCGCCTCTGACGTCGAAGCCGCTGCCGCCGCTGCTGTCGCCGCTGCCCTGTTGCCGCCACACGCTGCCGCCGCCGCCGCTGTCGGCACTGCCGCCGTTGCCATGTCACAGGCCCCTGGGATTGGCCATGCCGGAGTAGTCGTGGTTGCTGCTGGGAATGGGGGTGCTAGGTTAAGGGGTGTGGGTGTGTGTGGGTTCTTCTACTACCAAGCCTAGGGGGTGTGTTAAATTATATATATATATGTTATATAATTGGTAGGCTTGGTAGGAATTACTGAAACCTACTGTAGAGGATACAACCCCCCTCCTTGTATCCCTTTCTCTTCTATTCTCGACCCCTTTTCTCTCGTCAACTTTCTCCTAGCTAAACCCTCTCGCCATTTTCATGGCTTCCTAGCTACCTAGCTCTCGTAACAGCATGAATACCTTATCTTTATAATTGAATAATGGTAAAGTGAGAGTACACACAAATATATCTAAGTTTTGTATCCTCTAAGAGGTGACTCTATACAGTCTATACAAACATGACAAATACACATGTTTGACACACCCCCTAGACTGCATAGGGGAATACCCTAAACAAGCAGCTCAGGGCGGCACTACTAGTCCAACCTCTGAGACAAGGGTCTGAGCGACCGGTCAGAAGGAGTACAGACAAGGCAAGCACAAGAGCAGGGCGGCACTACTAGTCCAGCCACTGGGAGAGGACACAAGTCCAGTCTGAGTATACATATAAAGGACAGTACAAAGTCAAGGTCCTAGCAAGTGAGAGGTTACAGGAACTAGACCAAGCTGTACACAGTGCCGCTGATGATCTTTAGGCGCAAGCGCCTTCGTAAAGATATCAGCCGTGTTGGCACCTGAGGCCAAGTGTACTATGCGAGCCTGACGTCGCTGCTGTAGCTCACGCAGGAGGAAGTACCGCAGCTGAATGTGCTTCGCTCTGCCCTCGAGTCGAGGCTCCTGACACAGGAGGATCATGGCCCTGTTGTCAGCGAACAGGACCGGGGCAGAGCTAGGTCGCTCACCTAAGTCAGTGAGCAAGAAGGTCAGCCAGCGGAGCTCCTGTGCCGCCATGGCACCGGCGTAGATCTCAGCCTCACAGCTGGACTGTGCAACAGACGAGGAGCGAGTAGCTCTCCACGAGACGGCACCTGAGCCAAGGCTGAAGCAGTAGCCCTGGGTAGACCTGAGTGTCTCAGCGTCGTCTGCCCACGAAGCGTCTGTGTGCCCAGTAAGGACCGCTGGCCTGCGTCCTCCTAGCACTAACCCCATGCCCGATGTACTAGCAAGATAACGCAGAACCCTCTTAGCGGCAGACCAGTGCTGCGGTCGGTGTCTGCCTGTGGCCACAAAGCGAGCCAGGATGTTGAGAGGGTATGCGAGATCTGGGCGAGTGCAAGTCATCAGGTACATGAGGCAACCCACCAGCTCTGCGTAGGGGCCGCTGGGCTCTACCAACTCCTCAGGCACTGGAGCGGAGAGCCTGTGGTCTACAGGCAGAGGGGTGGGCTGTGCAGAGGAGAACTGAAGGCTGAACCTCTGAAGGACCTGGCGCACCAAGTGTGACTGAGTCAGGGTGATGGTGCGCGCAGCTCTGTCCCTGGAGATCTGCAAGCCAAGGTAACGGCGCAGTTCTCCAAGGTCAGTGCAGGTGTGTCTCTTCAGCAGCTCTGCCTTCACGGAGGCCAGCGCGTCCCTGTCTGCTGTGGCAAAGACCAGGTCGTCGACGTAAACGAGGATGTAGAAAGGAGTCTGGCCAGCACGAACGAAGAGTGAAGGGTCGGCAGAAGACGGAAAGAACTGCAGGTCAGCAAGCGTAGCACGCAGAGTGTCGTGCCACTCACGGGGAGCCTGGCGCAGGCCGTAGACGGGGCGCCGCAGGAGCCACTGGGTCCCAGGAGGGAAGGTGCCAGTAAAGCCCGGAGGGCGGCGCAGGTAGACCTGCTCGTGTAGGCTGCCCTGAAGGAAGGCAGTGGAGAAGTCGAGGGAGTGAAGCTCGTAGTCACGCTGAGCAGCTAGGTGTAACAGAACCCGAAGAGTAGTCATCTTCGGGGTCGGAGCGAAAGTCTGGAAGAAGTCCACCCCCTCGCGCTGACTGAAGCCTCTAGCCACATAGCGCGCCTTGAAGACAGGCGGCTCTCCAGGAGGGCGCTTCACCTTGAAGAGCCAGCGGCCATCGACTACGTTCACCCCAGGTGGGGGAACTGCGTCGACGAAGGTGCCGGTGGATCTCCAAGATGCCATCTCCTGCTCCATGGCAGCTATCCACTGCGAGGCCCAGGGTCCCGAAGTCGCCTCAGCGTAAGTGCGAGGGGTCGGGATGTCGAAAGCGTCTGGGTCACCCTCAGGGACTAGCAGCATGGAACAGAGATGGGGAGCAGCCTCGGAGAGGAAAGCAAGCTCGAACTGGCGGTCCTCCAGGACGTCACTGCCAAGGGCAGGAGCACCCCCGACAGACGGAGGACAGGCAGGGTCAGAGACCAGAGCGGTGGCGTAGTCAAGGCGGCGGGTAGAGGCGAAGTCAGCGACAGCAGCGACAAGAGCGTCAAGGCACGAGACTGGAACAGACGGGTCGGTAACGAGAGAGGCAAGGACCCGAGGAACGAGAGGACGAGCGGCACGAAGGTAGTCGGACAGCGGGGGGGGCGCAACAACAAGGGAGGACGGAGGAGGTGACGGCAGAAGGGGAGGACGAGACGCGTGTGAACGAAGCAACATAGGGTGGGAGCGCAGGACAGGCGAGGCAGGACGAGCACGGGAGGGACGGTGAGACCAGACGTGCGATGGAGGAGTCGGGTCAGGAGACAGGGGAGGGGACACAGGAGGGGAACGAGGGGGGAGACGGGCCGGGGACGAGTCCGGCGGAGGGAAAACAGGGCCGTAGACAGGAAGAGGAGGAGACGGTCGGGGAGGAACCGACGCAGGGTCGGGGGACGGAAGGCCGAGCAGGCGAAGGGCGGACACCGGCGGGGACTGCTGCTGCGGCGGCACAACGGCGACACCTGGACCGCAAGCTGCTCCTCGGCTACCACCGGCACTCTCCACACCCGCACCCCCAGAGGGACCACCCTCAGGGCGACCGGGACGAGCACCCCCAGAGTCAGCGAACGGGGGCTGCGACTGCGGCGGCGGCGGCGGCGGCGGCGGCGACGGCGACGGCTGCAGTGGCGGCAGGGACGGCGGAGGAGGGGACTGGGGAGGGGACACCTGGGGAGGGGCGGCCGGCGAGGACTGCACCGGAGGGCCACCAGAGTCAGAAGACTCCTCAACCGGGTCCACGGACGGAAGGGGGGTGACATGGGAGACACCAGAGGGGGCGGGACGGGGAGGAGGAGGAGGAGGGGCAGGGACTACCGGGGAAGGGGTGACCAGGAACAGGGGGGGGGTAACCAGGGGACCACGGTGGGGGAAGTGGCGGTAGTAGGAGACGGACTCGTCAAAGGTGACGTCACGAGAGTGAAAGAAGCGGTGAGACGGCGGGTGGTAAAAGTGCCAGTCGGACGCGTCAAGGGGAAAACCGAGGAAGACGCAGGGAAGGGTGCGGGCAGTGAGCTTGTCCGTGCCGGAGGCACGGACGTGAGCAAGGCAGCCCCAGACGTGGAACGCAGACGCGTCACCAGGAGACCCAGTCCACAGACGGGTCGGCGAAACCTGCGGCTGCTGAGGGTGCGGCCACAGGTTAAGCTGGTGAGAAGCGTAGCGCACAGCGAACGGCCACAGAAAATGGGGTGCACCAGCATGGACCATGGAGGTGCGAGCGACCTCCATGACCAAGCCGATGCGTCGCTCAGCGACCCCATTCTGCTGTGGGGAGTCCGGTAGGGTGAACGTCTGGGTGATGCCCTCCGCACGACAAAAGCGACCAAGGACACCTGAGGCAAACTCGCCACCACGGTCTGAGTGAAGACGCAAGACAGGGAGACCGTGGTGGACACGCGCAGAGACAAGCCAGGGGATGAGGGCGCCAGGCACGTCGGCCTTGCGCTCCAGGGGAAAGACTGTGGTGTAACGAGTGAAGTCGTCGACAAGCACAAGGAAGTAGCGCTCGCGACGCGGCCCAGGGACGGGGGCGGGGCCCCAGACGTCCAGGTGCAGGGTCTGCAGCGGCGCGGCGGTAGGGGGGAACGAGGAGGAGTGAGGGGCACGGCGAAGCCGACCCTCGACACAGGGCGTGCAAGGTGGAGCTGGGGAGGAGGGAAACGCGGGGAGTGAACCTGGGAGACCAAGGACAAGACCGTGCTGGGACATGTGACGCAGACGCGGGAGCGCAGGGTGACCTAGGCGGTGGTGCCACAGGAGGGTCGGGTGAGTGAGGGAGCGACAGGAGCAGGCAGCAGCAACCTGGGTAGACACAGCCACCTGAGGGGGCGCTCCAGCCGGGGGGGGCACGGTGTCCAGAGTGAACAGGCCGGACACCGGGTCCCGGGGGAACGTGGACAGGGGGGCACCAGTGGCGGCCTCGGTACAGACAGCATACCGCTCGTGACCAGGGAACGTAGTGGTGACGCCAAGGTCCTGGAGGCAGCCGACACCAACTAGGTTCCTGGAGAACGAGGGGATATGCAGACCTGTAAGAGAGCCCGAAGGAACCGCCGGACAGGTCACCCTGCGCTCCCGCGTCTGCGTCACATGTCCCGCTTTCCTGTCCGAGGCTGCTCCCCATCTCTGTTCCATGCTGCTAGTCCCTGAGGGTGACCCAGGCGCTTTCGACATCCCGACCCCTCGCACTTACGCTGAGGCGACTTCGGGACCCTGGGCCTCGTAGTGGATAGCTGCCATGGAGCAGGAGATGGCATCTTGGAGATCCACCGGCACCTTCGTCGACGCAGTTCCCCCACCTGGGGTGAACGTAGTCGATGGCCGCTGGCTCTTCAAGGTGAAGCGCCCTCCTGTAGAGCTGCCTGTCTTCAAGGCGCGCTATGTGGCTAGAGGCTTCAGTCAGCGCGAGGGGGTGGACTTCTTCCAGACTTTCGCTTAGTGGGTGTGGGGTCAGCGGGCAGAATAGCAGGAGGGTCTGGGCAGGGGAGCGTACCGTCAAGGTGTGCGGAAAGCGGTTCACCATCCTGCCGCTGGCCAGTGAGTTGGCGGCGGAGGTCGGCAAGCCACGCCTCGAACTCTAGGGGCTGACCTTCAGCGTCGAAGCGAAGCTCCGCCGCCATCAGGAACAGTCCAGTGCTGTGCAGGGCGGTGCAGCTAGGTGGGGTGCGGTGCAGTGCGATACAGTGCGGTGCAGTGCGGTGCAATGCGGTACTGTGCGGTACAGTGCGGTGCAGTGCGGTGCAGTGCGGTGCACTGCGGTACAGTGCGGTGCAGTGCAGTGCAGTGCGGTGCAGGGCAGGGTGGGGGGGGGGGGGGGGGGGGGGGGACCGTACCAGTGAGGACGACGGGGCCGGGGCTGGCCCGACGGGGCCGGGCGGCTGCGACGGGGCCGGGCGAGCGCGACGGGCCGGGCAGGGTGCGACGGCGCCGGGCGGGCGCGACGGGGCCGGGCGGCGGCGACGGCGCCGGGCGGGCGCGACGGGGCCGGGCGGCGGCGACGGGGTCGGGCGGGCGCGACGGCGCCGGGCAGGCACGACGGGGCCGAGCGGCGGCGACGGGTACGACGCGGCCGAGGAGGGGCGCTACGGGGCCCAGGAGGGGCACGACGGGGGGCCCAGGAGAGGCGCTACGAAGCCCAGGAGGGGCGCGACGAGGCCCAGGAGGGGCGCTACGGGGCCTGGGAGGGGCGCGACGGGGCCTGGGAGGGGCGCGACGGGGCCCAGGAGGGGCGCTACAGGGCCCAAGGAGGGCGCGACGGGGCCCAGGAGGGGCGCTACGGGGCCCAGGAGGGGCGCGACGGGGCCCAGGAGGGGCGCTACGGAGCCCAGGAGGGGCGCGAAAGAGCCCAGGAGGGGCGCTACGAGACCTGGGAGGAGCGCGACGGGGCCCAGGAGCGGCGCTAGGGGGCCTGGGAGGAGCGCGACGGGGCCTGGGAGGGGCGCGACGAGGCCTGGGAGGGCGTTACAGAGCCCAGGAGGGGCGCTACGAAGCCCAGGAGGGGGCGCGACGAGGCCCAGCAGGGGCGCTACGGGGCCCAGGAGGGGCGCGACGGGGCGCTACGGGGCCTGGGAGGAGCGCGACGGGGCCCAGGAGGGGCGCTAGAGGGACTGGGAGGGGCGCGACGGGGCCTGGGAGGGGCGCGACGGGGCCTGGGAGGGCGGTACAGGGCCCAGGAGGGGCGCTACGAAGCCCAGGAGGGGCGCGAAGAGGCCCAGGAGGGGCGCTACGGGGCCCAGGAGGGGCGCGACGGGGCGCTACGGGACCTGGGAGGAGCGCGACGGGGCCCAGGAGGGGCGCTAGTGGGCCTGGGAGGAGCGCGACGGGGCCTGGGAGGGGCGCGACGGGGCTTGGCAGGGGCGCTACGAAGCCCAGAAGGGGCGCGACGGGGCCTGGCAGGGGCGCTACGAAGCCCAGGAGGGGCGCTACGGGGCCTGGGAGGAGCGCGATGGGGCCCAGGAGGGGCGCTAGGGGGCCTGGGAGGAGCGCGACGGGGCCTGGGAGGAGCGCGACGGGGCCCAGGAGGGGCGCTAGGGGGCATGAGCGGAAGCGGTAGGTGGGGGGGGGGGGATCCTACCTACGCGTGATAGCATATCAAAATAATTGAATAATGGTAAAGTGAGAGTACACACAAATATATCTAAGTTTTGTATCCTCTAAGAGGTGACTCTATACAGTCTATACAAACATGACAAATACACATGTTTGACATACCTGCCCTAGCTTCGACCCGTACACGCCACGCCGAACCATTTAGCGTCACTCCGAAGCGTTCCGTGTCCTCAAATGCCTTCTTCAAACCTGTTCGATCACACGGCTAGGATTGCACTGGTGTTCCTATATCTTGCTTCGTCATTCCATTGTACGACAGTTCTGTTATTCTGAACCTCGACATTCGATTCCTTGCTACTCTGGTGAAACATTCATAACATTGCCAATACATTCTGGTCAGCTTTAATCAGCATCGGGTTCTCGTTTTAACGTGGTGCTTTGAAGCTTGCTGTACCCAGGAGAATGTGATGGTTGCCTTTATTTCTGTGTGGGCCCAGGAGCTGTGCAGTTCGCTCCTCGAAAATCCCGACACCAGTTTTGGCGGGAAATCTCGCTGCGCTGGACATGTTGAACGGCTTCGCCGTGTAATCTGGCGCCACGTGACCTTCCTTTACTTGGCCTTCCGCGAACCAAGGCAGGTCATGAAACCTTTCCCGCCAAGCGAACATCCACGCCCCCAGGCTGAGTGTGGACGTGCTTTGCTTTTCGGGCTTCAACGGCTGCCCCAAGTCGCACGGGGATACCAGAGACGTGCAATTGGTTCTTTTCCTGCAGGCAATATCGATCACTTATCGCCGTCGATCTTCACATCTTCAGACTTTGTCCCTCATCGGATGCGCTCATTCTGGCAAATAGTGCTTCCATCCTGCCCTGGGCAAAAGTTCATCCCATGAGAATTTTTCAGCACACTCTACACTTGGTTTCTTGAAGGCATGAATGAGAGCCACACGAATCATAGCATTAAAAAGCACGCGTGAGCCCTGCCCTACTTTTGTAACCCTCCTTATAATCACAGGCGCCAGGCCTAGCAGCCAGCAGACACCTGCTGCAAGACAGACTAGTCTCCTCCCCGTCGCCTTCCTGTTGCCTTCAATTTCACCTAGCAGCATTCTAGACCTGCAGGGATGGGATTATGGACCAGAGCTGCAACAGCCAGATAGATCAAGCAGCAGCGCACTCCACAAAGCAAGCACACGTTGTCACGTTGCTCGCAGCGTGAAGCGTTTCTCTCCAATCGAGGGGCCGAAATCTGTTTGGTTGTGCACCTTTCCATAATTGTTAGTCTCGAGGGATGCGCCACTGATAAGTAGCCATTCAGCTCGAAGCGTTTAGCTCGGATTGACGTGCTCTAATAGCAGCCTGATAGCAGCCTGATAGCAGCCTGATCACTGTACTGCCAACTACAGGGTGCGAACCTTTTCTGAAAATTGATGCTGTCGTACCTTCGTAGACCTACCTTCTGGTCGTTTATCCACCTTATACCGCTAACTTCTTTTCTAACCATAGCTAGCCTGCGATAAGTACCGTCTTCAATAGCTAGAAGGTCCGTAGCCTACACATCAGGAGCTTTGAGCCGATTAGTTCAATCAGGACATTCTTACCTAACCCTAACAGGTGTTTTTTTAGCCGACTCGATACGTATTTTTAACCATGGAGCCGCCAGGACATCCGTACCTAACATATAGAGGCCGTTCGCGACCAGGAGACATGATCTCACATTACGATCGCATACGAGACGAGCTCTTATCGGGTCGGCCTATATCGGAACCGAGCGAAACGCACAGCCGGAAAAAGCGGCCCAGAACTCTAGCCTCCGACGGCCTTCCGCTCCCTCTCTGGCTGACTAATGTCATCTTCGTTATAACGTTCGTTCTTTCTAGCTGCTACCTCCTCCGTCGCTGGCGCGAGAAATTAGACTTGTCGGAAAAACTTCACATTCTACTATGGCGGGACTTAGCGGCGGTCACACTCGCGATTTGTTCGTTCATTTACTTAATCGGCTTCTTGGGAATCGGGTACGTACAAGCGATCGTTGAGCAGAGCGTTCTATCAGACGAGGAGCAGGAGGAGGAAGAGGAGGACGATGAGGAGGAGGAGGAGGAGGAGGAGGAGGAAGGGGAGGAGGAGTCTAGAAGATTTCATCATAACCACCACCAGCCGGAGCAGGCTAAGAAGCCTGACAGCATCTGCCACCACGACGCTCCCTCCTTTAAGACCTATCTCCCACCTTCGTCGTTAGAGCCCGAATGTGCTTCTAAAGCGGCTCCGGTTCCCTCCACTGCAGCCCCTTCCGCTAGTATCCCTTCCGCTACAATCACGCCGAACACCAGCACCGAAAGCCTGAAGACCTTCGTGTTCAAGTCCGACAGCTCGTCCTCGCTACTAGACGTCCCGCTACAAGACCTCCCGGACGACGACATCGCGCACGCCGTCGCGCGCGGCGCCATTCCCATGCACTCGCTCGAGGTGCAACTCGGCAACACCCTCCGCGCCGCCGCGGTTCGGCGCCGCGCCGTGGAGATTAAAACCGGCCGGTCCCTATCCGGCCTCCCCCTCGAGAACTACGACTACGACGCGATCCGCGGCGCGTGCTGCGAGATGGTGATCGGGCACGTGGCGGTGCCGGTGGGCGTAGCGGGGCCGCTGCGGCTGGACGGGGCAGACGTGTTTGTCCCCATGGCCACCACCGAGGGCTGCCTCATTGCCAGCACCAACCGCGGCTGCAAGGCCCTCTGCGCCGCCGGCGGAGCGCGCAGCGTGGTGCTGCGCGACGGCATGACGCGCGCGCCCGCCGTGCAGCTGCCGTCGGCGCTGCGCGCGGCGGAGCTGAAGGCGTTCGCGGAGAGTCCGGAGAACTGGGACATGCTGGCGGACGCGTTCAACAGCAGCAGCAGGTACTGTTCTCGGGTTACATTTCAGCGCCGTACGCGCTACTGAGTCGTAACTAATCAGGTTTTCCACTACCGCATTTTCCATCCCCTGCGTTCCCCATCTCCCCCCTCCATCTTTTTCTCCGCCTCTATTTGCTCCGCCCCTTCAGCGCAGACTTCCGACATCCGCGCGCATCGCCTTTGTTCACGTTTTCACTTCTCCCTGCCCCTTTCCCCTTCCGCCACTCCCCCAGGTTCGCGCGGCTGCAGAGCATCAGCGTGGCAGTCGCGGGGCGCACGGCGTTCGTGCGCGTGGAGAGCAGCACGGGCGACGCGATGGGGATGAACATGGTGTCCAAGGGCACGCGCAACGTGCTCGGCGCGCTGCTGGGCGCGTTCCCGGACCTGCGCGTGGTGAGCATGTCGGGCAACTACTGTGCCGACAAGAAGCCCACCGCCGTCAACTGGATCCACGGCCGGGGGAAGTCCGTCGTCTGCGAAGCCACGATTCCGGGCCACGTGGTACGTTCCTCCTCCTCATCCCCTGCCCTCCCCCTGCCCTCCCCCTCCCCCCTGCCCTCCAACCTGCCCTCTCCCCTGCACTGCCCCTGCACCTCTCCCCTCCTGTTCTCCTTACCCTCTGGTTCTCCCCCTCCACCTCCCTCCCTGCAGGTGCGGTCGGTGCTCAAGACGTCAGTGGAGGCCCTGGTCGAGCTGAACACGACCAAGAACCTGGTGGGGTCGGCGGTGGCGGGCGCAGTGGGCGGGAGCAACGCGCACGCGGCCAACATGGTGGCGGCGGTGTTTCTGGCCACGGGGCAGGACCCCGCACAGGTGGTGGAGAGCTCGCACTGCCTCACGCTGCTGGAGCCCGCCAATGGCGGCGCCGACCTGCACGCCTCCGTCACCATGCCGTGCATCGAGGTCGGCACTGTGGGCGGCGGCACCTTCCTAGCGCCGCAGGCGGCAGCGCTGTCTCTGCTAGGAGTAAGGGGCGCGCACCCGTTGCAGCCGGGGGCGAATGCGCAGCAGCTGGCGCGGGTGGTGGCGGCAGCAGTGCTTGCAGGGGAGCTTTCCCTCTGCTCCGCCCTCGCCTCGGGGGACCTCGTTAACGCTCACCTCAAGTACAACCGATCCACGGTCAATGCTGCGGGGGCTGCTGCTGCTGCTGCTGCTGTAGATGCTGCTGCTGCTGCTGCTGATGCTGCTGCATCTGCTGTGGCTGCTCCTAATGCGTCGTCGGGTGCTGCTGTTTTCAGGGCTGTTGCGAGTGATTCAGAGCAGAGTGACTGCAGTGAGGGTAGCTCTAGCGGGGGTAGCATTGGGTCCCTGGAGGGACTTTGTATGGCAGATAAGTGCTGAGCTGCTGCTGCTGCTGCAGCTGCCTCTGGGGTTGGTGGTGTGGGTGGGTGTGCTGCGACTTTCATTGCGAGTAAGAGTGGGTCTACAGGGGGAAGCAGCGGTTTCCTGGAAGGGGCCTGCATGCCGCACAAGTGCGGAGCTTTGGGTAGTTGCTGCGGTGGTGATGGTTGTGGTGCGGTACCATGTGCGGCTGCTGATCCTGATGGGGTTCTTGCAGCGTCTCCTTTGCTGACATGATCTGGAAGGAGTTTGCATGGCACGCAAGTGCAGCGCTTGGGTAGTGGCAGCGGTGGTGATGGTTGCAGTGCAGTGCTAGGCGCTGCTGCTGCTGATCCTGATGGTTCTGACTGCATCTCCTTTGCTGATGTGACATCTGATGCAGCCACCGCTGATCAAGGAGGAGGGCAGCTTGGGCTTTAAGGGGGGAAGCTGCAGCAGCACGAGCATCCCTTGCTTGTCAAGTCAGGCTCCAAGCCGTGCTTGCTGTGCCACATTCACCACGAAGCATCAAGTGCTTCAAGAAGGTGGCTTGATCCAAGCAAACAGCCAATGCACGTTCAACAGGAGGGAAGAGCTGGAGGTGAGATCTTGCTGAGCTGGAGGGTGAGATCTTGCTGAGCTGGAGGGTGAGATCTTGCTGAGCTGGAGGGTGAGATCTTGCTTAGCTGGAGGGTGAGATTGTGCTTAGCTGGAGGGTGAGATCTTGCTTTGCTGGAGGGTGAGATCTTGCTGAGCTGGTGGGGAAGAGATCCGATGGTGCCGGTAGGTGTCTTAGGATTCGTCAGAGCCTCGTCCGCATCATCACCGTGCGGTGTGGCAGCATATGCACGCACCCCAGCTACAGGTCGCACACTGACATCTGACTGGCACTATTGTGCCATGAGCCCGAGGCACCATGCATTGCTGGATGGTGCTAATCTCTGTTACCTCTGCTTTGGTGGGCTGAGGCGTGTCTGCGGTGTGCCTGTATTGCGTGACTCTCCGTTAGTCCCTTGAGTCGGGACTCCAGGAGAGACTTTTTCAGCTCCCGAACTCACAGCCCTAAGGCTGTTAGCCCTTGAGTTGTAGTCCTAGAGGCTGTAGCTTGCTTTGTAGGTTGGTTTGCATTGTAGGTGCCTGACAGCTGACCTGCCTTAGGCGGCATCTGTGGCATTTAGCATGGTAGGCACTGTGACTTAGACATTTTCTGTATATGCTATAGGCTAGGCAGTCTGTCATGCTGGCTTGTAGGTTTCTATGCCCACAATTCAAATTTCTTGATTGCAAGGTAATGAAGTGTGTCAAACATATTTGTATATGTTATTAAAGCCTAAATAGGAGCATGCCTTAGAGAGTACACTGTACCCTTGTTGCTAGTTCATTCCGCACTTAGAACTGAGTAAAGAATGACTAGCGAACCTGTGTACAAGCATACATATCTAAGGGTTGTACTCTCTAAGAGGTGACCCTATACAGTCTATACAAACACTAGATATACTAATGTTTGACAACCCCCTAGACTGCATAGGGGCAGTTCCTGAACAAGCAGCTCAAGGCGGCACTACTAGTCCAGCCACTGAGACAAGGGTCTAAAGACCAGTCAACAGGAGTACAGGCAAGACAAGAACAAGACCAGGGCGGCACTACTAGTCCAGCCACAGGGAGAAGACACAAGTCCATTCTCACTAAATATATATATAAAGGACAGTACAAAGTCAAGGCCCTAGCAAGTGAGAGGCTACAGGAACTAGACCAAGCTGTACACAGTGCCGCTGATGATCTTTAGGCGCAAGCGCCTTCGTAAAGATATCAGCTGTGTTGGCACCTGAGGCCAAGTGTACTACGCGAGCCTAGCGGCGCTGCAATAGCTCGCGCAGGAAGAAAAACCGCAGCTGGATATGCTTCGCTCTGCCCTCGAGTCGAGGCTCCTGACACAGGAGGATCATGGCCCTGTTGTCAGCGAACAGGACCGGGGCAGAGCTAGGCCGCTCACCTAAGTCAGTGAGCAAGAAGGTCAGCCAGCGGAGCTCCTGTGCCGCCATGGCACCAGCGTAGATCTCGGCTTCACAGCTGGACTGGGCAACAGACGAGGAGCGGGTAGCTCTCCACGAGACGGCACCTGAACCAAGGCTGAAGCTGTAGCCCTGGGAAGACCTACGTGTCTCGGCGTCGTCTGCCCAAGAAGCATTTCTGTGTCCAGTAAGGACCACTGGCCTGCGTCCTCCTAGCACAAACCCCATGCCCGATGTACTTGCAAGGTAACACAAAACCCTCTTAGCGGCAGACTAGTGCTGCGGTCGGTGTCTACCTGTGGCCACAAAGCGAGCCATGATGCTGAGAGGGTATGCGAGATCTGGGCGAGTGCAAGTCATCAGGTACATGAGGCAACCCACCAGCTCTGCGTAAGGGCCACTGGGCTCTATTGACTCCTCAGAAACTGGAGCGGAGAGTCTGTGGTCTACAGCCAGAGGGGTGGGCTGCGCAGAAGAGAACTGAAGGCCGAACCTCTGAAGGACCTGGCGCACCAAGTGTGACTGAGTCAACGTGATGGTGTGCGCTGCTCTGTCCCTGGAGATTTGTAAGCCAAGGTAACGGCGCAGTTCTCCAAGGTCAGTGCAAGTGTGTCTCTTCAGCAGCTCTGCCTTCACGGAGGCCAGTGTGTCCCTGTCCGTTGTGGCAAAGACCAGATCGTCGACGTAAACAAGGATGTAGAACGGAGTCTGGCCAGCATGAACGAAGAGTGAGGGGTCTGCGGAAGACGGAAAGAATTGCATGTCAGCAAGGGTAGCATGCAGCGTGCCGTGCCACTCACGGGGAGCCTGCCGCAGGCCGTAGACGGGACGCCACAGGAGCCACTGGGTCCCAAGAGGGAAGGTGCCAGTAAAGCCCTGAGGGCGACGCAGGTAGACCAGCTCGTGTAGGCTGCCCTGAAGGAAGGCAGTGGAGAAGTCGAGGGAGTGAAGCTCGTAGTCACGATGAGCAGCTACGTGTAACAGAACCCAAAGAGTAGTCATCTTTGGGGTCGAAGCGAAGGTCTGGAAGAAGTCCACCCCTTCACGCTGACTGAAGCCTCTAGCCACGTAGCGCGCCTTGAACACAGGCGGTTCTCCAGGAGGGCGCTTCATCTTGAAGAGCCAGCGGCCATCGACTACGTTCACCCCAGGCGGGGAACTGCGTCGACGAAGGTGCGGTGGATCTCCAAGATGCCATCTCCTGCTCCATGGCAGCTATCCACTGAGACGCCCAGGGTCCCGAGGTCGCCTCAGCGTAAGTGCGAGGGGTCGGGATGTCGAAAGCGTCTGGGTCACCCTTAGGGACTAGCAGCATGGAACACAGATGGGGAGCAGCCTCGGACAGGAAAGCAAGCTCGAACTGGCGGTCCTCCAGGACGTCACTGCCGAGGGCAGGAGCACCCCCGACAGACGGAGGACAGGCAGGGTCAGAGACCAGAGCGGTGGTGTAGTCAAGGCGGCGGGTAGAGGCGAAGTCAGCGACCGCAACGACAAGAGCGTCAACGAGACCGGAACAGACGGGTCGGTAAAGAGAGAGGCGAGGACCCGAGGAACAAGAGGACGAGCGACACGAAGGTAGTCAGACACAGGAGGAGGCGCAACGGTAAGAGAGGACGGAGGAGGCAACGGTAGAAGGGGAGGAGGAGACGCATGGGAACGGAGCAACATAGGGTGAGAGCGCGTGACAGGGGAGACAGGACGAGCGTGGGACAGGAGAGACAGGGACGGCGGGACCAGACGTGAGACGGAGGCGTCGGGTCAGGAGACAGAGGAGGGGACACAATGGGGGAGCGAGGGGGAAGACGAGCCGGGGACGAGTCCGACGGAGGGAACACAGGGCCGTAGACAAGAAGAGGAGGAGACGGCAGGAGAGGAACGGACGCAGGGTCAGGGGACGGAAGCCGAGCAGGCGAAGGGCTGACACCGGAGGAGACTGCAAGCTGCTCCTCGGCTACCTCGGGACACTCACTCTGGCACCCCAGAAGGAACACCCCAGAGCCCGAAACCCCCGAGCACCAGTACCACCCCCAGGGCCACCGGGGCAGGCGACAGCAGGAACCCCAGAACTAGCACCCACCCAACGCGGGCACCCCCAGAGTCGACGAGCTGCTGCTGCGACGGCGGCGGCCGGGGCGGGGGAACGCGGGTGCGGCGACGACGGCAGCGGAGACGACGGCTGCGACAGCAGGGGCGACGCGGCTGCAGAAGCTGTAGGGGAGGAGACACCGGGGGAGGGGCAGACGGCGAGGACTGCGCCGCAGGACCACCAGAGTAAGAGGACTCCTCGACGGGACAATGACGGGAGAGGGGTGACGTGGGACACACCAGAGGGGGCAGGACAGGGAGGGGAGGGGGGGGCAGGGACCACTGGAGAAGGAGTGACCAGGAACAGGGGGGGAACGGGGGACCGCGGTGGGGAAGTGACGGTAGAAGGAGACGGACTCGTCACAGGTGACTCGCGAGAGTGAAAGAATCGGTGAGACGGCGTGTGGTAGAAGTGCCAGTCGGACGCGTCAAGGGGGAAACCTAGGAAGACGCAGGGAAGGGTGCGGGCAGTGAGCTTGTCCGTGCCAGAGGCACGAACGTGAGCAAGGCAGCCCCAGACGTGGAACGCAGACGCGTCACCAGGAGACCCGGTCCAAAGAAGGGTCGGCGAAACCTGCGGCTGCTGGGGGTGCGGCCACAGGTTAAGCTGGTGAGCGGCGTAGCGAACGGCGAACGACCACAGAAAATGGGGTGCACCGGCATGGATCATGGAGGTGCGAGCCACCTCCATGACCAAACCGATGCGTCGCTCAGCGACCCCATTCTGCTGTGGGGAGTCTGGCAGGGTGAACGTCTGGGTGATGCCCTCCGCACGACAGAAGCGACCAAGGACACCTGAGGCAAACTCGCCACCACGGTCGGAGTGAAGACGCAGGACAGGAAGACCTCGGTGGACACGCGCAGAGACAAGCCAGGGGATGAGAGCGTCAGGCACGTCGGCCTTGCGCTCCAGGGGAAAGACTGTGGTGTAGCGAGTGAAGTCGTCGATAAGCACGAGGAAGTAGCGCTCTCGACGCGGCCCATGGACGGGGGCGGGGCCCCAGACGTCCATGTGCAGGGTCTGCAGCGGCGCGGCGGTAGGGGGAAACGAGGAGGAGTGAGGGGCACGGTGAAGCCGACACTTGACACAAGGCGTGCAAGGTGGGGCGGGGGAGGAGGGAAAAGTGGGGAACGAACCAGGGAGACGAAGGACGAGACCGTGCTGGGACATGTGACGCAGACGCGGGAGCGCAGGGTGACCTAGGCAGTGGTGCCAAAGGAGATTCGGGTGAGTGAGGGACCGACAGGAGCAGGCAAAAGCAACCTGGGTAGACGCAGCCACCTGAAGGGGCGCCCCAGCCGGGGGGTCACGGTGTCCAGGGTGAACAGGCCGGACACCGGGTCCCGGGGGAACATGCACAGGGGGGCACCAGTGGCGGCCTCGGTACAGACAGCATACCGCTCGTGACCAGGGAACGTAGTGGTGACGCCAAGGTCCTGGAGGCAGCCGACACCAACTAGGTTCCTGGAGAACGAGGGGATATGCAGACCTGTGAGAGAGCCGAAGGAACCGCCAGACAGGGAAGGGTGGTGGAACTGCGAGCGACTACGGGACCGCCCGAGGGGTCAGCAAGAGAAACGGCAGTAGGAACAGGAAGCGGTGTCAGCGTTGTAGAGTCGCGGAAGAAACACCGGGAAGCGCCAGAGTCCAAGGTGAAGGAAAGTGAAGCAGTGGCGTCTGGCGATGGGGCGACGACAGAAGCACCAAGGCTAAAAAAAGCAGGAGCTCCTACGCCTGACGCAGCAGGGGAGGCTAAGCTAGGCACACCTACACTAGGCGACAAGGAGTAATAAGAGGGGAGCATACTAGAGTCATCAGCATACATCACATGCAGGGCAGAAACCATGGCATTCATGTACATGTCAAAAATTTGAACTCTACGACTAAGCAAACTGTGCCAGTCCGGGAGGTCGGGCGACGGGCCGAAGCGCTGACGAAAACAGCGGGCAGTGGCGTGACCGATCTTACCGCAAACGAAGCCGCGGCGAGGACCGGTCTGGATCTGGTACTGACCGCGCACGCCTCCCGAACCGCCACCCGGCACATCACCACGTGCACGACCACCACCAGCGCCAGGCCACCCGGGCGGGAGGGCACTCGCCTGCCTCGTCTGCGGCGGCTGCTGCGGCTGGTGCAGCTGGTGCGGCTGCTGCTGCTGCTGCGGCTG